GATAATGCAGAAAGAAATGGCCAAGATATGGAAGAAGGAATCAGAAATAAGTTGGTGATGAAAGCGAACTCTGCCCTCTATAATGGTTAATTTTATGTAACAACTTGGCTGAGCCACAGTGCCCAGATATTTGGTCAAACACTATTGTGAATGTTAGTGTACTTTTGGATGAGATTAATACTTAAACCAGTGGACTTTGAGTAAAGCAGATTGCTCTTTATAATGCAGGTGGGCCTCACACAATCAGTTGAAGACCTGAATAGAACACAAGACTGACATCCCTGGAGCAAGAAGGAATTAGGCGGCAGTCAACCTTTGGACTTCAACTGCAACACTGGCTCTTCCCTTGTGTCCAGTCTGACAGCCCACCCTGAAGATTTCAGACTTGCCAGCCTCCATAATTACATGAGCCAATTCCTTGAAATAAATACTTATAGAGAGATAAATAGATAGATACAATTCATTTTGTTTCTCTGGAGAACCTTAATACATCTACTTAATGTTGATCTTCCTGATTTTCTCAGTGCTGAATATATAAATTTCTTTTAAATTTCTGAAGGATAGAGCTTTTAATGACAAAGAATAGAAATCCACTCAAAGTAGCTAAAGAGGGGATTTAATGGCTAATGTCATTGGAAAGGACAGGGGCACAGCTTCAGGCACACCTGTATCCAGGGACACAAATGGTATTGTGAGAACTCCCTTTGATTCTCTCTCCCTGACCTTACGCACAGGGAAATGACCCTCAAACACCTCTGGAATCACATCTTTATAGTTTGCAGTCCAAGGGGAGAGAGGCTATTCCGCCATCCTCACTTTTCATATTCTAGGCAAGGATTCGGATGGGTCCAATGCAGACTCCTATGCCCCACTCATTCGTGTGGTAGAAGGCAGGACACTGTGATTAGACAATTTGACCAGCGCCACATAGAGTCACCAGAGGCACACAGAGCCAACAAGAGAGCCAGCAATTCCCCCAGCACCATGTAGACTCCTTTTCCTCAAAGGAAAGGGGAAGGTGTTTCTAAAAAATGAAGGGACACCTAGAAGACACAAACAAAAGATGCCCACTACATCAGGTGAACACAGCCTTGACTGCCCCACCAGGAAACCTCAAGCTTAGGAACAAAGGATGTGGACTCCCACTAGAATTAGTATATTCCCCTATATTCCTCTCTGCGGTGCCTCCAACTTTTCCCAATAGGCAGAACCTGGGGCAGAGTTTTCTAGCTCTGCTAGACTCTACTGCCTAGAAATTGTCCACAAATAGGAAACCATGAGATTAACCGGTCCTATCTACTGTTTCTGTTCTGTAGAATGTGATCAGAGCTGGAATGGAAACAGACCATTCATGGAACTGCCCAGGGCTGAAAGATCACTAGAAATGTAAGGTGACAGAAAAAAAAAAATACTATTTCCTAGTTTCTTTCAGGTGATACAAAGGCATTTCTGCATAGCCTGCAAGAACCCTTTCAAGATTGCATAGATAACTCTGTTGTGGGGAAATGGAGTATAAAGCTGGGTTTTCCCAAAGGGATATAAATTCCCACTGGACTGAAGAGCAGCTAGCTTCCTACTGCTGGAAAAAGGGTGGTGGTGTAGGGAAGGACACATATGCACATACCACTGCTTTGGCTCATTAGAGTCAGGAACAAATAAAAGATGGAAGACTTTGGCCCACTAGAAAGCAGCACCTATGAAGGCAAGGAATGCTCTCCTCCATCAGGTGTATGTGGGTCTAATCCCCTTAAGACAAAATATAGGGTCTGCAGCCAGAATGCCAGGGTTCATATTCCTGGCTTTTCCACTGAAGTTGTATGGCAATGGAAAATGTACTTCTCCCTGTGCCTCATGGGGACAGTAATAGTTACCGATCTCATAGGGTTAAATGACTTCATAAATGTAAGGTGCTTATAATAGTGTTTGTCACATAGTGAAAGCCAATGAAAGTTTGCTATTTTTAAATATTTTGCTCCTTGTCATTCTGGATAGCACTCCATCCTAATTCTCATTAGCAAAAAATCCTCCAAGTGCTTGGCCGACTCTTGGCCAACAATCTGAGTTTCAAATTTCCCATGTTTATAAAGGTTTTCAGTAATACTTGCAAGATTTTATACATTTTGGGGGACTAATTTTTGTTTTCACCAAATACAACTTAATATGAATGATTACTTCCCTTTTTTGTGGACCATTTAAGAGAAAACAAAGTATAATTTAAAAATTCAAAAGTAAAAAATTTTACCTGATTAAACTACACCTTCTAAATTAACTTTTGATTGAAAAAGTGGCTAAATTAATTTAAAATTATATTGTGTTCATTTTAAGATTGGTATTTGGCACCATCTGCCACAAATAAAAAAAGCAGTAAAATTAATGTACCAACTCCTCCATGATTTACCAAGGCTCTGTTAGAAGGAAATCAGCTTCAAGTGACAGTACCTGCCAACAGTAGTTGTTCAAAACAAGGAAACCTCTTATCTCACATGATACTCTGAAAATGGGTGGTTCCCAGGCTAGCTCAAAAGTCAATAATGTCCTCAAGGATCCAGGCCTTGTTTCCTTCTTCTTTGCCATTCTCAGTGGACTGGCTTTTCATCATGATTTCAAGTTGACTGTCATAGCCTTGGACATTAAGTTTTCACTCTACAGCATACCAAACAGGAAAGAAAAGAATCGAGGGGAAAAGAGCCCTCTTTACATAGATTAACTCTCTCTCTTAATCAGGGAAGAAAATCTTTTTAAAAAAATACTCCGGGCGCCTGGGTGGCTCAGTTGGTTAAGCAACTGCCTTCGGATCCTGGAGTCCCAGGATCGAGTCCTGCATCGGGCTTCCTGCTCGGCAGGGAGTCTGCTTCTCCCTCTGACCCTCTTCCCTCTCGTGCTTTCTCTCATTCTCTCTCTCTCTCTCAAATAAATAAATAAATAAATAAATCTTTAAAAAAAAAAAACACTCCAGTAGACCCTCTCTTCCAGCTCGTTGGCCACAGCTGGGTCATATGTCCACACCTAAACTAATGACTGGCAAAGAGAAAAGGAGTTAAAATGCCTGGTTGAGATTAGTTATAATTAATCCCCTGAGGTGGGATCTACCTTCCCTGGTCACATCACAAATGATAATTGACAGGGCACCTGGGTGGCTCAGTTGGTTAAGCGTCTGCCTTCGGCTCAGGTCATGATCCCAGGGTCCCAGGATCGAGCCCCACCTAGGGCTTCCAGCTTGGCAAGGAGTCTGATTCTCCCTCTGCCACTCCCCCGGCTTGTGCTCTCTCTCTCTCTCAAAGAAATACAATCTTTAAAAAAAAAAAAAAAAAAAGAAATGATATTTGAAAGGGCCTCCACCACTAGATTCTGTAGCACTCCGTTCGGCCCACTGTTTGCTTCTGTACCATTTCCAGGGAAGGACTTTCACTTTACACTCAGGCTGTATTTCTCTTCTTGCAGTTACTAAATACATTTCACAGCTTCCAGATTCTGTTTACACTGCTCTGTATGTCTAGGAAGGTCTTCCCCACCTTTCCTCCTTGTTCCTCATGGCTGCTCCCTTTTGTAGAAAATCTTCCCGTTACCTTGGCCTCTCAGTTCCACGATTTCCTTTCCTCCAAGAATCCAATTCACTCCCCACTTCAGCCACTTATTTCATGGCCATACCCAAGACTTGTCATTAACTCTATCTCCTCGTCTCAATTTCCTGTAGCTTCTTAAGGGCAGGTTAATGTGTCTAGTCTACAAAGCAATTCCGAGAGTCTGACCTGAATTCATCTATAATAGCTCAGGCAACAAATTCTCCAACCCCACTGTCTGGTTCTATGAACCAAAGGACAAACATATAAACTTTAAATCCCAGCATTCACAAATCCTGGTGTTCTTCCTGTTTCCATCCCTATTTTTTTTTTTTTTTTTTTTTAGATTTTGTTTGAGAGGGAGAGCAGAGTGAGAGAGAGAGAGCATGCACAGAAACAGGGGTGAGGGTAGAGGGAGAGGGACAAGCAGACTCCGTGCTGAGCAGGGAACCCAGTTTGGGGCTCGATCCCAGGACTCTGAGATCATGACCTGAGCTGAAGGCAGACGCTTAACCCACTGAGCCACCCAGATGCCCCTCCATCCCTATCTTAATATTGATACTTTTGGGAACCAGAATTCCAGAAATACAATGTGCCACTGCTATTTCCCTCTTATTGTGATATTGTCTGTGAACTACTGTCTCTGAATTATTATAGAAAATGAGAAAGAAGGGTAATTTACTATGTTGGATATCTGAAAAAGCAAGTACCTCTATGGTAGAAAGATAACTGACCAAATTTCTGGCATGGCACGGATTATAAATCTCTGAGTCAGGAGAAGCCAGTGGAAGAAGAACCAAAGCAGTTTCTCATCTTTTTTTTTCCTTAGAGATTCTGCTTCACAAAATAAAGCCTGAGCATACTAAGGCAGCTTTTCCCTCAATTCAGCCTGCTGTGTCTTCTACCAATGGAAATTCTGTCTACGTTCTGGAACTTGGTTCTTTTATTAGTTTTCAGCATTATGACTACTTTTTGGGGGGAAGGGGGAGAGAGGGAGAGAGAAAATCTTAAGCAGGCTCCACACCCAGTGCAGAGCCCACAGTGGGGCTCATTCTTACAACCCTGAGATCATGACTTGAGCCGAAACCAAGAGTCAGACACTTAATCTAGTGAGACACCCAGGCACCCCTAACCAGATACCATTTTTAAGCCAGAAATTGTTTAGTATTTTTTTAACAAGATAAAAATCCAGTAAAGATAGTTTCAAATATTTCACAAAAATCTAAGCCATTTTAGAGTATTTTTATAAGCATTCTCCTTACTTATTTCTGTATTAAAAAAAAAGTAAATAAATTAAATGAGGGAAAATGAACTGCTTCACACATTATGCAAAGAAGGAACCATGAGAAATAAAGAACAAACATTAACATATCCCTGGATAAAATCCACGTGTACAGAAGATGATTCAGGATGTTATAAATAACTCATATGAGGTAAAGCAAACATTGCAATATTTATGTATCAGTCTCTGAAAAAGGGGCATATTTTATTAATCCTCAAGTTCCTTAGCAGATTAACAATAAAAGCTTTGTATATATTATCAATAAGTCCAACTGCTGGGCCCAAAGAAAATTCTAATTATTTTAAGGTGAGTTTGCTTCTTTTTCATCTGATTCATCATCCATAACCTAAAACCAAGAAAAAAAAAAGAACTTAAGAATTAAGAAAAAGATTAGAAATTGCTATTTTCCTGATTATACCATTACTTGCTTACCTGAAATACTCTACTCTATAATAATGCATGTCAATCCAATAAGACCAAGTCTATCAACAGCCCCCAAAACACAAGTTTGTCTCATAACCTGGTATCATAACAACATAAAAGCAAATTTAATATTGCAAATTAATTAAGCATTGGTCTCTTTTTCTTGTCCCAAAAAAATCTTCCAGGAGCAGAGTCTCAGCTGGACACTGACTATTACAATTAATTAACTGGTATTTCCTAGCCACAAGACTAATATGATTAACTTTTTTTTTTCCCAAAAACATTCTATTTACTTAAATATATTCTTAGGAGCTACACCAAACTATTATAAAAATATATATTAGAAAGATGAATCCCTAAAAAAAGTAAAGAAATAAAATATCATACTAGCAACTAATTATTTTGGTCTTACTCAGATAAAAATTCATTTTAAATCTTAGAAAAATGTGAGGACCTTCATTTCTAATAAGTTAAATTATTAGAAAAATACTAATGAATACCTGATTTAAAAATGAAAAGAGTAATCTTTTTTTTAAAGATTTGAGAAAGAAAGCATGCGGGAGCGGGGGTTGAGGGGGAGTGGGGGGAGGGGCAGAGGGAGAGAATCTCAAGCAGACTCCCAGCTGAGCGTGGAGCCCATGCCAGGCTCGATCTTATGACACCAAGATCAGACTTGAGCCAAAACCAAGAGTCGGACACGTAACCAACTACACCACCCAGGTGCCCCAAGATTAGTATCTTTTCGTGAGTTAATATATTACTCAGAAAATAAAGAATTGTCCTTCAGAGAGGAAAAGAGTTATATAAACTCATGAATTTTTTTTTCAACATACCTACTATAATTAAACACCAATTCAAGTTTATAACCTGACTACCAATTCATCACCCCACCCTGGACAAGTGAACAAATGTCCCTTTGTCAATTCACCAAAGTGTCAAGTAATGTAATTCTTTAAAGAGGCATATAAGGCATAGAGAAAATTATGAAACAAAAATAAGTTTGTTTCTTTAAATCTGGAAGAATTTGGTTCTGATCTGAGACTATCATGGAAAAATAATTCTCTCATATTTTCTCTTCTGAGTTGAGTAAAAATAGATATTTACTTCTAAGGAATTGATATTTTATAATTAATCTCAGCAACACACAATTCAAAGAATTTTGTCAATCAATTCCTATTTTAGGCAGAACATTCCTAAATTTGGAAACATTCTTCCAAATACTTATTTAATACAAAGAATATGTATACAACATGTACAACACAGAGGGCTAAATGTTGGAGAGGAACACTAAGACCTGGATATGATGACAAGTCTCTCAAGGAACTTACCCATAAACATAAATCTGAAACAGACACACTGAAAGAGGCTTTGGACCGAAGCAGAGCCTAAGTCCACGGAGAAGACCAATAAGGCCTTCAAAGAGAAGATGCCATGTATTGTACCCAAAGGACAGATTTTAGTACTACCCAGAGATGAGTGGTTCCCAAAGGAGCTGAGGAGATACCCTCGCCTTAAAGGCACAGAATGATCTGAAGAGTTTTTTCAAATTTCTCATTTCCATACATTCTTTTTTCCTCCTTGATAATCTCCTTCCATAAGGCCAACCCTCTTGGTTGAGAATTGCTGCAATGAAGGTCACTATTTACTGCTTAGAAGGATCTGTGCTATATTCCTGAGGTACCTTGGGGCAGAAAAAAATGCTGCTATCAGGCTACAACTCCACTCAGTACTCTGTCTGACTGTACAACAAAGTATGATTTCTTGATGAGTTTCTTCCCTGGATGAGTATGATGCAGTGGAGCTCTTCTACTAAGGACTTCCAACTCTCATCTATGAAATTCACGTTTTGAATCCCCTTTTCATAATTTTTCTACAATTGGAGCAGCAGTATGACCTCTGAGTCTCCATTTCCTTACGTACAAAATGGGAACAACTTACTCGATACTGTGTTGTGAAAAGATTAAAGGAGTAATATTTGTAAGAAGGCCTGGCAAATAGTAGGTATTCATAATACTCAAGTGGATTCTAAAATAAGGACTCTTCAAGTCTGATAATAATTTAACACTGAGATCCAGCCCCTGAAGAATAGGTCAGGTCATGAATTTCTTCTTTTTATCCCCAAATATTTAGTTTAATATTGAATCTCAACTGTCATATAATATTGGCAGACCTGTTCTACACCCTCTACTTCTGGAATATAAAACTGCAGCATGTTCTGAATTCCATTTTTCAGAGTAATGATTGAACTGGGGCAGCTGGTGCAAGAACCTTGGAGTTTCAGCTGTACAATGCCATCTTCAAAGCCTTTATAGATAACGTCTCCTCCATCTTCCTGAACGGTTGGCCTGTGGTCACAGAATATTCGTTATGTATGTAAAAGAACTGAAGTTTCCATCAAAAATATTTAAAACAACCCAGGGCTTAGATTTATATTGGTAAAATTCACAAAGTTAGAGCTACTTATACAATAGAGAACAAGAAATTTAGCTAGTCTCATTTGTAACCTTTTTAAAAATTTCAGATAAAATGCCAAAATTCATTCATACAAATATTTGCTTCACTTATTATATTTAATCCTGCTTATTAATAATCTTTTTAGGGATTTAAGATCTCAAATGTCCTAATAATTACAGCAATTACCTAAGATAATACTCATTTCTTTTGAATGAACAGAGGCCGACTAATATGACACATGCTGAATTTTTTTTTTTGCCAGATAAACTTTGCCTCGAAATATAACATTAATACAGAAAAATGCACAAATCACGTATGATCAATTAAATGAATTTTTACAAAGTGAACACACATTTGTCCCAGGCCAAGACACAAAGCTAGCACCCCAGAAGTCCCCCTTGTGCCTCCTGGCAATCAAAGGTAACCATTTCCTAATTGCTATTACCATTGATTAGTTCTGCCTGTTTTGTAACTTTATAATTTATAAATATAAATTCCATTTAAAAAACGTATAGCATTTACTCTTTCATATTTGGCTTATTTTGCTCTTTATGAGATTCTTCCACATCGTCACATAGTGTTCCATTAAGCGAAAATGCCAGAATTTATCCCTGTTGTTGTGGCTGGACTTTTGGGTTAAAATCAGATTTTGGCTTTTACAAACAGTGCAGCTGTGAAGATTCTTGCAGATGTCTTTTGGTAGACATATATATGACTATTGGGAATACACCTGAGCATGGAATTGCTGGATCAAGAATGTACATATATTCACATTTAGTAGATACAAACAGTTGCCCTCTGCCCAGGTTCTCATACTCTAGCCTCACACCAAAATCAGCAAAATGACCCACGGGAAGCCTTCATGAGCTTCCCTCCTCTATAGGATCTTGTGTGCTTTGGCAGCTCTCTATGGTTTACAGACAAAAAAAAAATGTATTGTATTTTATTGCATTTCTGGGAGTTCTCACCAGGACCATTGGTCTGCTACAAGCAAAAGTGGAAGCCTGTGGCTCTCCACTCATTTAAATTTATTCTTTATGGGCATAGCCTGAAAAAAAGTACTTCTTCTCTTCTCACAATCTACCCAAACACTGTTTAACTCATTTTTTTATTTTAAGAAATTTGGTATTATAACAATATCAAACCTAGATGGTGTCTGTGAAAGATAAACTCCTTCACTGTGTTTAGACAGACTGTCTTAAAATTTTGAGTGAGTATACAGAATGTACAGGCTTTAAATTCAACTGCCATGGTTACCTATTACGGTTTACATTCACTTCTACTTATTTATTCGAGTTTTTTTTCCTCACAGACAACTAAAAGTATACTGCTATAATGAAAACTGCCTCTGCAGTATATTTGATTTTGGGCAGAATGATGAGCACATACCGTATTCTAGTATCTAACAATTCCTTAATCATTGCCACAACTTCATCATCTTCTTCAGATCCTAGAAACAATTACAAATAAAATAAATCAACGGTAGAAATTTTATATCCATGCAAATACAAGTATTAAAACAGGATGATTTTAACTTAATGTCTCATTAAAAAAATAATAAAAGCATAGAACATGTAACTGGGTATGGTGATATAAGGGAAATGGAGATGATAGTTGGGAAGATGGAAAGATCATTCGATTCTCTGAAGAAAAACTTTTTTTTTTTTAAAGATTTATTTGAGGGAGGGAGAGAGAAGGTGCACATACACGGGAGAGAGGGGCAGAGGGAGAGGGAAAGAGAGTCTCAAGCAGACTCCGCACTGACTGCAGAGCCCGGCGTTGGGCTCAATCCCATGACACTGAGGATCACAACCTGAGCCGAGGTCATGAGTCTGTCACTCAACTAACTGTGCCACCCAGGAACCCCTTGATTCTCTGAAGAAAAATTAAGGAGCACTGGTCAACTCAACACTTGGCAATAAAGGTGAGTAACTGACATAACTCGATCTACTAATGATGTCAGGGTTTGAATTTTTTTGGTTTGTAAACTTTCATCATCCTCGAGGATTGAGAAATGGTAGAGAAAAAAAATTGCCTGGATTCTGATGGAAAGTTTGAGACACAAAGGCACACCTACCTTGTAAGTTAACTTACATTTTTAATTTTTCAATTTAGTGGTTTTCAAAATGATAACCATACTAAATATAGATATAAACCTTATGGAAATTTTCAAAATGTTAAAAAATCAGTTTTTTTCATTTTGTGTCATTTTTGTTTTTCTTTTACTTTATAACATATACTGATCTTCATTAACACCTTTTCTATGGGTTTAAAATTTTTTTGAGAAATTTACCTTTAGGAAAACTAAAAATACAGATAATTCAAATTATAATACATACTAGAGTTCTGACAACAATGTAAGTAACAATTATCAATATTAAATTATATTAACTTTGAGTCTTTTTTAATAAAAGAAATAAAATATAATAAAATTAAAATCTCTTATGTCAAGACACCTGGGTGACTCAGTCAGTTGAGCATTGGACTCTTGGTTTCAGCTCAAGTCATGATCTCATGGGTCATGAGATCGAGCCCACATCAGGCTCCACACTCAGCAAGGAGTCTGCTTGAAAGATTCTCTCCCTCTGCCCCTCCCCACACGTGAGCGTGCATGCTCTCACTCTAAAATAAATAAATAAATCTTTTAAAAAATTCTCTTATGCCAGCAAACCTAAGTTCCATTCCCCACTATCATTCCATAAACAACCACTATCATAGTGTAGCACATATCTTTCTAGTACATTTACATTAAATTTACATGTGCAAATTTACACAGATCACATACACACACTGTTCTATATCTTTTTTCTATTTAATATATCTAAAAGGCCTTTCCATATCAGCATATATAGATATGCCTCAATTTTTAAAATAGGTACACAGTAATTGTATGGATTTCTTTTCTTTTCTTTTCTTTTTTTAAAGATTTTATTTATTTATTTGAGAGAGAGAGAATGAGAGATAGAGAGCACGAGAGGGAAGAGGGTCAGAGGGAGAAGCAGACTCCCCACCGAGCAGGGAGCCCGATGCGGGACTCGATCCCACGACTCCAGGATCATGACCTGAGCCGAAGGCAGTCACCTAATCAACTGAGCCACCCAGGTGCCCTAGATTTCTTTTCATTTAGCTAATTTCTCAATTATTTCAGTTGTTTCCAATTTGTTACTATTTCTAACAATCTGAAGCATACATGCTTAAGTGTACTTTTGCAACATCTAAGATATTGCAACATCACATATCTACCTATCTATGAGATAAATTCCTAGTGGTGGGATATTTGGGTCAACAGTCTTGTGTATTTTTTTTAATTTTTTTTAAAGATTTTATTTATTTGAGAGAGAGAGAATGAGAGATAGCACGAGAGGGAAGAGGGTCAGAGGGAGAAGCAGACTCCCTGCTGAGCAGGGAGCCCGATGTGGGACTCAATTCCGGGACTCCAGGATCATGACCTGAGCCTAAGGCAGTCGCTTAACCAACTGAGCCACCCAGGTGCCCAAGGCTTGTGTATTTTTTAATCTGGAGAGGTGTAGTCAAGTGGCTCTACAAACATTCTATCAATTTTATGTATCATATACCCACCAAGAACAAATAGAATTGTTTGAGATATTATTTCAAGTTTGCACAAATGGTATATATGTAAAAGTATGTAAATAAATGTACCCTTCAATTTTCCTTAATCAGTTAGTATTTTCTTTTATATCTTTTCACATTGGTATCTCCAAATCTAGTTCACTCCTTTTAATTGCTGATGTATTTTTAAAATATTTCAATGAACATGCTTCATGTATTATTTTGTGTACATTTACAGGACTCATTTAGGATATATATCTAGAAGTGGAATCGTTCATCTAAAGATGACAGTACAAATTTTTGTGTGTACATGTATATGCACACGTAAATACACATGACAACATCGTTATGATACTAGGGGAAAGAAAAACTTCATCAACAACAAATTGTAATAGTCACAGCTAATACTAAGCTCCATATGCAATTAGTCTTCCAAGTGCTTTACACAAAGTAACTTATTCAAAAGGTACAAAAAGCACAAACCACAAAGGAAAAGATGAATATATGTGACTACATGAAAAAGAAAAATGTCTGTGCTTGCTTCAACAGCATAAATACTAAAGCTGGAATGAAACAGAGAAGATTAACATGGCCTCTGAGAAAAGTTTACATGCAAATTCATGAAATGTTCTGCCTTTTAAAAAACTGGAAAAAGAAAAATTTCTAAATGACAAAAATCCTAAACATAGTGAGAAGATAAGGAATGGTTAGGGAGACGTTCTTTACAATGAATATACCTAACAAAGGATTAATACCCAGAATATTTTTCAAAAACCTGCTAAAAAATACCAAAAAAAAAATACAACTCAATTTTTAAACAATGGGTAAAGATTATGAACAGGAAATTTACTGACAAGAAAAATAATGACCAGTAAACATATGAAAACCTTCAGGCTCAGTGTAAATCAAGGAACTGCAATTAAAACAGGGTACCAATTATACTTAACTTATTGATTAAAAAAAAAAGTAAAAGACACTAAGTGATAATGAAGATATAAGAAAGTCCAAATTCTTATATCCTGCTAATCTGCATGTAAATTAAAACAATTTACAATACAGCAATTCTGTTTTTAGGAATATACCCTAAAGAAATTCTCCACATACGCACAGAGACTTGTACAAGGATGCCCACTGTAGCAATGTTTGTCATAGAAATGAGCACAAACAATTCACTTGACCATAAGGAACAAATTCACTCACTGTAGTTTATTCATATAACAATACTATCTAGCACTTAAATAAACTAGAACATTTTTTTCAAAATGGTTGTATTTCAAAATATTATGCTCAGTAAAAAATGGCAAGTTGCATATAACACACATTATTTAAAGTTTAAAAAAACCAATACCATATATTCCCCACAGAGACTTATACATGTAGTAAAAGTTTAAAAACAAACCAGGTTTACATACATCTCTGGAAATAGAAAAGGGAAAGCAATGGATGGAGGTTATGAGGTCTCGGCTATGTCTTTAATGTTCTATTTAAAAATGGGTCTCGGGGCGCCTGGGTGGCTCAGTCGGTTAAGTGACTGCCTTTGGCTCAGGTCATGATCCCAGGGTCCTGGGATCGAGCCCCGCATCGGGCTCCCTGCTCCGCGGGAAGCCTGCTTCTCCATCTCCCACTCCCCCTGCTTGTGTTCCCTCTCTCGCTGTCTCTCTCTGTTAAATAAATAAATAAAATCTTTAAAAAAAAAAAAATTTAAAAATGGGTCTTGGGGGCCTGGGTGGCTCAGTCCATTAAAGCGTCTGCCTTCGGCTCAGGTCATGATCCTGGAGTCCTGGGACTGAGTCCCACATCAGGCTCCCTGCTCAGCAGGGAGTCTGCTTCTCCCTCTGCCCTTCACCCTGCTCATGCTCTCTCTTGCTCACTCTCTCTCAAGTAAATAAAATCTTAAAAAAAAATTAAAATGGGTCTCAAGCAATTATGGCAAAAAATTAACATCTGTTAAATCTGAGAGGAGAGCAAATTGGTATACATCATAATATTTCTGGTATGTCTGAAAATTTTTATAATTGAAAAACACCAGTTTTGCATAATATATTCAATTTATGCACAAGTTTTCAAAAATGATGAATAAAACTAGTATATGCGAAGTTCTGTTCCCTCTGGAATTGGTTCCAGATCTAAACAATGATAAAAATCTGTATTATCATGACTTCCAAAATCAAGACAAATGTGAAGAAAAGAAAAGTTCTTTTTTAATTAAATATTAATTATCCAACACAATACCTGCTTCTCCTGAAGATGTTTCCTCAGTAACTAAGGGTAAGCCAGAAGCAAAGAAATCCATGATTGTTGCATAAATATCTGGTTTCAGTAAATTCCAGTCTAACTCTTCACTTTCCTGTAAATATTTAAAGGAAAATGCTACATTTCTAATCAAGAGCAAAGACTAATACAAAATAATACTTTGTATCTTTCAAGAATCTTTTCCTATATATATCCTATACTGTGTAACAACAGCACTCATTTATGGAGACCTGTCAATTCCAGTCCTTAACGGATCTGGTTTATAAGGACTTTGGAAGATATAATGTTAGAACATTCCTCATACATTCATCCATTCATTCATCAAACTTATGTTAAATGTACCATGCCTTGTACAGGGGATACCACAATGATTAAAAGATACTTTATCATGAGGTGAAGAGAATTAAAACACTGAATGAATTCGGTGTTTAAAGAGAATGATAAAGAGACTTCCCATTCCTTTAAAGAAAATAGGATAGAGTTGCTTGATCAAATATACAGGATATCCCACAAGTATCCAAAAATTCAACTCATATATTACTTAAGAGTACTAAAGAAATCCAGTGACACAACTGTAGAACCAAAACTTGTAACATGTCTTATCTATGGTGTTGTGCTAGAAGACTTGTGGACCTCCAACAAGCCTGGTATCCTTAAGAAAGAATCCATACCTATGTCATCTCTATGTCTGGCCAACTAGTTGATTCCATCAAAAAAAGGCACAATTACTAAACACCCAAATAGTACTAATATCCAAAAAGAGAAAGGGAACATGTTTTCTTTTAGTTTTATATATATATATTTAAAGATTTTATTTACTTATTTGACAGAGAGAGAAAGAGAGCATAAGCAGAGGGAGTGGCAGGCAGAGGCAGAGGGAACAGCAGGCTCCCCGCAGAGCAGGGAGAGCCCGATGCGGGACTCGATCCCAGGATCATGACCTGAGCCGGAGGCAGTTGCTTAACCGACTGAGCCACCCAGGGGCCCTCTTTAAGTTATTTAAAGGAGAGCTCTTTAATTAGATGCAGTCCATTTAGATTCTCAGGAGGCTGTTAGCTAGTGGCTATGCTTAAATACTATTAAAAAACAAGTCTACATAAATAAAAGGGGCTATTTTTGTCATGAACTAAGAACCAATCTAGGGGCGCCTGGGTGGCTCAGTTGGTTGAACATCTGCCTCTTGATCTCAGCTCAGGTCATGATCTCAGGGTCCTGGGATCGAGCCCCGCATCAGGCTCCTTGCTCAGCATGGAGTCTGCTCGAGACTCTCTCTCTCTCTGCTTGCATGCACTCTCTCTCTCTCCCTCAAATAAATAAAATCTTAAAAAAAAAAAAAACAATTTAGACACGGTATACAGAAGACAAGATAAATGGGCACTGCTATGGCTACAAGAGCAAAACTACTGAGTTGCCTTAGTGACTGGGAATGGGAACTGGCTCTGGATAACATTTTAATAACTTATTTGGAAGATGGATCGGAGGGCTACTTCAGATCTTCAGTAAATAGTGGGCTCTACTGAGTAGGGAAATATTGGTAATAAAAAAAGAAAAATATTCTGAAGTTGTCTGAATGAGAAAAAAAAGGCAGGTACATAAGCTTCAAATACATTTACTCATTTAGAAAAAAATAACAGGGGTGCCTGGCTGGCTCAGTCAGTACAGCATCTGACTCTTGACCTTGGGGTTGTGAGTTCAAGCCCCACACTGGGTGTAGAGCTTACTTAAAAAAAAACATTGGAATTATCAAAGTTATTTCAAAGAACAGAATAGAAAACTATCCTTGGGGTGCCTGGGTGGCTCAGTCGTTAAGCATCTGCCTTTGGCTCAGGTCATGATCCCAGGGTCCTGGGATCGAGCCCCACAACAGGCTCCCTGCCCTGCAGGAAGCCTGCTTCTCCCTCTCTCTCTCCCCCTGCTTATGTTCCCTCTCTCACTATGTCTCTCTCTGTCAAATAAATAAATAAAATCTTTAAAAAAAAAAAAAAAGGAAAGAAAATTATCCTTACTCTGCAAAAGAAATAAATTATTCACTTTAAATAAATAAATAACAAATTATGCATAAGGAAGTCTCTGAATCATCAATTACAAATCAGAAAAGGAAATAGGCAATAGCTGAAGATATCAGGTAGATGAGATAGTCCATAAGAAAGGTAACTGAAAGGGGTGCCTGGGTGGCTCAGTCGGTAAACATCTGCCTTCAGCTCAGGCCCTGATCCCAGCGTCCTGGGATCAAGCCCCGCATTGGGCTCCCTGTTCTGCGGGAAGCCTGCTTCTCCCTCTCCCACTCTCCCCGGCTTGTGTTCCCTCTCTTGCTGTGTCTCTCTCTGTCAAACACATAAAGTCTTAAAAAAAAAAAAAAAAAGGTAACTGAAAGAAAACAAATCTACTATTCTGCCTATTAAATTTCAATACATGCCCTAACTTAAATTATTATTTATTAGTTATGTCACTTCACTTAAGAAAAACTAGTGGGGCTGAAGAAATTCCAAAGAGTAATTAAATTATGAATGAGAAAGGAAATAAAAGATGACTTATCAAAATCAAAGAAAAAAACTCTGTAAGATATCACATTTTCATCTAAAAAAATTTTTATATGCCATAGGCTGTATATAAAAGGACAAAAAAAGAACTTGTTAAAATAAATACATAATTTGCCATTTGTAAAATGAAGACAAGAATACCTAGTTTAAATAATTAAATTAGGTAATATATGTAAAGCACTTCTGCTATGTGAATGCCATACCAGCCATGTTGGAAATATTAAACAAGAGCAGATCCTCCCCCCACCCTCAAAAAATATCAAAGAAAGCAAACTGAAAAAAACCAAAGATATATCAGATGTCTCTAAACTGGGAAACATGAGGGATCTGTCAGCATGGGTTTACTGACCACAATCCTTTTGGCAGAAACCTCTTAAAGCCTGAAAATTCAGTCTATGAAATCTTACATCATTGTTTCCTTCTATAAAAATTTCTTGAAGTGCACACTATGTGCTAGGCATCGTTCTAGGTGAACTTAGTAAGTCAGGCAATCCCTAGCTTTACGGAGTGTACATTCCAATGTAGCAAAGACACATAATAAAGATAAACCAAAAAAAAAAAAAAAGTGACTAAGTGATAAGTGCAATGAAGACAATAAACAGGGTAATGAGCTCCTGGAGAGACAGCCACTTCAAACGATATGGGCAAGAAAGGGCTTTGTGAGAATTTAGAGCCAATAACACTTTAAACAACACGACAAAACCTTTTACAATTGGTATATTTGCAAGAACAACTATGGTCACCGGGATTACCACCACAGAGGAAAACTAATTCCCCTGCACACACAGAAGCTACAAGAGCATACTGGACTTTTGTTTACAGGTCACTAACCCAGTCCACTTTCATCAGTCCTATCAGTGCATCAAGAACTCAGAGTAATCCTTTCAAATTGCTTAAGAGGACTACATGAAAACTTTGGATTTTTTTTTAAGATTTTATTTACATATTTGAGAGAGAAAGAGTGAGCAAGCGAGAGAACACAAGCTGGAGGGGGGGCAGAGGGGGAAGGAGAAGCAGGCTCCCTGCTAAGCAGAGAGCTTGATCCCAGGACCCTGGGATCAGGACCTGAGCCGAAGACAGCCGCTTCACCAACTGAGCCACCCAGGTGCCCCGAAAACTTTGGATTTTGACATAATATTGAACAAATGATTAAGTTCAGTGTATACATATCAATTAACAGACCTAAAAGTATCCATAGTTCAAATTTAAACACTTCATTTCTAATTAATCTAGTAGACTTAAAAATGAAACCACCTTTTCCAGCAGATACCAGCTATTGGAATGGGCAGCATAGTTAGATCAACTTTCTGACATTTAGAGGTTAACCAAGTGCTGCAGAACGACACAGTCCCCTGCTCTTATCTGTGAAGTTCTGAAGTATTTCAGCAGATGGGCCATGATGAAAGAGCCCCCTTTAAAAGAGATACATATTCATCTGTTGGTCAAATACATAAGCATATAGTTTATTTGTTTGCTTTTCTTTTTACTCTTTCAATTTAAATTAAGAACTAGTAAAAACATCAAAACTACCAATAAAATCTCAATTATAAAAGAAAAAAAAAGAATTAGTAAAAATAACACTTGGAGCCTAAATTCTAGTTCTGCCCAGGTTGAGTCATGGCCCTGCTGTAGGGCAGATACATAACCCTGGACACAATCCTGCACTTAAGCCTCTGAAGCTCAAGTTTTTCTCTTCTGAAAAATGAGGGATTTGGACCATAGTTAATTTCAACTTGAAAATTCTATTTAATAACTAACTTGAGAAATGTGAGAAGTAAACGTAGAGGTTTTTAATAACAATATGTATAAAACACATCAAATTCAGAAAAAAACTAAAAGAACTTCATACATTATTTTACATAATCCTATGTTTACCTTTGTAACAGTGATGAAATCTGGTCCAAAAAAGACACTTTTTACTCCTTCAATTCTAAATAACTGCCTGTGAATAAATAAGAAATAAGAGATAATAAAAGGCTTTATTACAGAAAAGTTTAAACATATACAAAGGTAGACAGAAAAGCAGAAGAACCTTTACATACCCATCACCAGCACCAACAATTCATGGCCAACAATTACCAACTCATGGCCAATCCTGTTTCATCCCCTTACCCTATGATCTAGCAATCCCACTCTTAGGTAGTTACCTAAGACAACTGAAAACATGCTCCACAAAGATGTGTCCATGAATCTTCACAGCAGCTTTATTTATAAAAACCAAAAAGAATATCTGGAAATGCCCATCAACTAGTGAATAACTGAACAGACCATGTGTACCCATACAATGCAGGACTACTCAACAATAAAAAAGAATAAACTAACGGTACATGCAAAAACAAGGAGGACTCTCAAAAGCATTAAGCTAAAGGAAAGAAGCCAAACACAAAAGACTATATGGGGGCATTTATATGAAACCTAAAAATGTAAAACTGTGGTGGCAGAAAGCTCAATAGTTACCAGAGTGATAGGTGTGTTAACTAACTTTACTGTGGTAAGCATTTTGTAAGGCATATGCATATCAAATCAGTACACTGTATACCTTAAACTTATATAATGTTTTACATCAGTTATAGCTCAACAAAGTTGGAATTCATTGCCATGAAACAAAATAGTTACCAGGGTATGGAAGTGAAGCAAGAAGATTGAATGCAAAGAGAAATGAGGGATTTCTGCAGTAATAAAAATGTTCTGTATTTTTATTTTAGTGGTGGTTACTGTATATATTTATCAAAATATATATAGTATATATTTGTATATGTATATATTTATCATGTATATATTTATCTGTCTATATTTATCAAAACTCTATATATTTATCAAAACTCTGGACTATACACTTAAAATTGGTGAATTTCAGGGCGCCTAGGTGGCTCAGTTGGTTAAGCGACTGCCTTCGGCTCAGGTCACGATCCTGGAGTCCCGGGATCAAGTCCCACAGCGGGCTCCCTGCTCAGTGGGGGGTCTGCTTCTCCCTCTGACCCTCTTCCCTCTCGTGCTCTCTGTCTCTCATTCTAATAAATAAATAAAATCTTTAAAAAAAATTGGTGTATTTCATTTCATGTACATTATACCTCAATAAAACTAATTTTTAAAATCCTCTAAGAGGAGGAGGGGAGGATTATAATTTGAAAAGCCTCTACAAGGGTGAAATGCATCTTCCTTTCCCAATCACTGATACATGTACCATACCAGAACAATTTCCTTTTTCCCTCACCCCTTTTTAGGAATAAAAGCTGACATACTCCAAAAAAGGTTACAGTTTACCTTTTCTTTGTCTATCATTGCATGAGTGTTACTGGAATTACTATTTTAAAATTATTTAGGAATTTGTCTGAAACGATGTCATCTGGGTCCTCTAATTCAATATTAAATTTACAAGAAGTTACAAGGTACTTGGCTGCATAATATGATCCAATAAACCCAAGCACAGACCTATAAGTAGGTCCCTTGATTGGCTCTCTGCCTCTGCACTGTTAGCAAAACTTTTTTTCTTCAAATGAAAGGACCATGCAAAAGAATCAACCTGATCTTTGGGGTCATGTCATGGGGACTGCTTTAGGCAAGAGTTCACAGGTTCTATGCTTTAAGAAAGAAAACGCTCAAAAGGAGTTTCAAACATTATTATACATGCTTTGCCACTTAGGTTACTTTCCTCGGGACAATTTCAACTTCTACAATGTCCAAAATAAAATATGACACCCAGCATTGAACATATATCCCAAACATAGTCTGACTTATTCAGAATACAAAGACTGTTACCTCTATTGAGCTAGATACTGTGACTCTGTTGAAGTTTGACTGGTTTTGAGTACTGCAACATATCCAACATAATGAACTAAGAAGTCGGATTCTTCCATCTCACAACTGAGCTATTCATTTTAAACATTTAAATAATAAGCCTTAATATTTGTTCCTGTTAGATTTTACCTTACTTGCTTTAAACTATCATGTCCGCCTAATGAAACCTTTAAACATTTCTCCGAATTTTGCCATCTAACATAGAAGCAATTCCTCCCATCTGGAAACTGATAATCTTATCATCATTAATGTGTCAAAGATAAAGATAAATATGCCAACTACAGAGATATTACAGATACTACAGAGCCCTTGTATATGTCACTAGAGACAGATTTACACTCCGCTTAAATTTCTCTGTCTTGTCCAGAAGGATAGTAAGAAATAGGTCAAATGCCTCTCTGAAGTAAGATACACTACTGTTCATTCATTCTTACTTATTCATTCAACAAATATTTGAAAATTCACTGAATATTGACACTATACTAAGCACTAGAGATACAATGATGAGCAAGATAGACAGGTTTCTGTTTTCAGGAAGCTTTACATTCTGGTTTACAGTAAAAACATTCTCTGTTAAAACAACAAAAACAAGATTAGTTTTGCTTGACTGAAGGTAATAAATTCTGTGAATCCAGGAAATAAGCTACTTTCAAAAGACTAATTTGAAAAGGGCTTTTGCCAACTAAACATCAGACAAAAATAATCTCCAACTCATCTGTAACTGAACAGTCTTTTTTATTTTTATATTCTTTTAAATACAAAATACATAAATTCATTCTTGATGTAAACATTTCAAACTATTCATATAAAGTGAAAATGCCTCTTGACCACCCCTCCCCCAAATCCACTGTTATCGGTTGGGTGTACATTCACCTTTATGTTAGTGTTTTTTTGTTTTGTGTTTTTTGTTTTTATATAGATAATCATATTGTACTAAGTGTTCTACAACATACTTTCTTCAATTAACAGTCTTTTATTTTTTTCTAAAAGGGGGAGAGAAAGAGATGGGGTGGAGGGACAGAGGGAGAGAGAGGGAGAATTTTTTTTTTTAAGATTTTATTTATTTATTTGACAGAAAGAGAGACAGCGAGAACAGGAACACAAGCAGGGGGAGTGGGAGAGGGAGAAGGCCTCCCGCCAAGCAGGGAGCCTGGCGCGGGGCTCGATCCCAGGACCCTGAGATCATGACCTGAGCCGAAGGCAGACTATTAATGACTAAGCCACCCAGGCGCCCGGGAGAGAGAATCTTAAGCAGGTTCCACACCCACTGCAGAGCCTGATGCGGGGCTCAATCTCACAACCCTGAGATCATGACCTGAGCCGAAATCAAGAGTCGGCCGCTTAACCGAACAAGCCACCCAGGCACCCCAAAAGTGTGTCGAAGAGGTCAGTCTATGACAGTAAATGAGGGTTCTCCTCATCCTTTTTTAATATCTAAGACTATGGACAAAGTTTATGGAACTCTTCCTACTGATGAGTATTTCAGTTGTTTCCAACTTGTTACCACTACCAACAAGGCTGCAATGAACATCCTTGTATTACCTTCTATATGTATGTGGATGTTCTGTAAGGCTGTGTTTTTCAACTCCACTAATAGCTTGTAAAATCAATTAGGTATTGACCTGGATTTTATCTAATATAATAAAACAACAGAATAAAGAGAATTAGAAAGGAAATAAGAATGTTTTACACAGGGTCAAAACTGTCCCATCGAATACGTGTGCATGTATCTATCCACCTATGTGTGTGTGTGAACTGGGTTGTGATATAAAAGGCTTCTTACTGCGGCCTGTAAAAAAAAGTATGAAAAACAAAAGCTCTAAGGCATATTGTGAGAAGTGGCATGTGTAGGTCAAAGGAAATGTGCGTTTTTATTAATGAGAAATTTAAAAAGGGGCGCTTGGGTGGCTCAGTCAGTTAAGCGGCCAACTCTTGATCTCAGCTTAGGTCTCAATCTCTGGGTCCTGAGTTCAAGCCCCACATTGGGCTCCATGTTAGACGTGGAGCCTACTAAAAAAAAAAAATTAAATTAAATTAAAAATTAAAAAAACATTCCTTCAATAAATGTATTATTTCTCGCTCTTCTAAGTGCGACATATAAAACAGCTGTGTGTATAGAAGTGGTTATCTAAGCTTTACTTTCTACATATACCTGGCAATCAGTCTCAGGCTTAGGTTACCAAAAATTTTAATTGATGTAGACTGACTCTAATACTTCTTATTATAAATAATTTCTCTAGCTATCATTAAAAAGAAATTCATTCCAGGGGCACCTGGGTGGCTCAGTAGTTAAGCGCCTGCCTTCGGCTCAGGTCATGATCTCAGGGTCCTGGGATCGAGCCCTACATCGGGCTCCCTGCTCGGCAGGAGGCCTGCTTCTCCCTCTCCTGCTCCCCCTGCTTGTGTTCCCTCTCTCGCTGTGTCTCTCTCTGTCAAATAAATAAAATCTTTTAAAAAAAAAGAAAGAAATTCATTCCAATAATTTTGTTTGTCCTATATCATCTGACATATTTCTAACAGGTCTTTAGTGAATTTAAAAATTGTCTCTGACTTGTTTTTATAAAATCATGCTAAATCTAGTAACAATTATTATTTACAGTTCTGAGTGGAATATTTTAGACACTGCTCCATTTTGACACATCGAAAAAAATTCAACTATCCTTAAGAAAAAAATGAACAAGTTTTCACTTTTTTTTATAAATAGTTTTAAAGATTTAGAATGGAAATTTATCCTATTTTCATTTTGATGATTTTTTTTTTAAAGTAAAAATATAAAGTCATTTATTCCTGCCATAGATCTCTCAAATACTTTACTTTTCAGGAGAAGGGTTTCCTAGTATCAACTGTTATTTTTCTTTTATCTCTTACCTGAAAAGAAAGCATTCTTTACGTTGAAAACGGTGCAGTGCACATAAAAATGCAATCATTAAACGAGGCTGCCTTACTCCCAAAGTCAGTTATTTATGTTTCTTGGTAAAAGCAAATGAGAAATAGTAATATACCTAGCCAGAGGGGAGCGAAATGCTGCAGCTGGTGTGGGAAAATCCATGGTCCTTGTCTCAAGAACTGGTTTTCCTGGAATAAACTTTAAACTGTTGGGATTGGGGGTATCTTGTGTTTGAATAAACATGTGTCTCACTGAAAGAGAAAAAAGAAGAAAGAATGTTATTCCAGAAAAAACAGTAGTTAAGCTTATGGACTATGAAGTGCTCATTTTCAAAGAAACAAGACATAAGAAAAAAGAAAATAAGGCTTTGTTGATCAAGCTGATGAAATAATTTTTAAAGACAACAAAAAAGGGGCGCCTGGCTGGCTCAGTCGTTAAGCGTCTACCTTCAGCTCAGGTCATGATCCCAGGGTCCTGGGATCGAGCCCCGCATCGGGCTCCCTGCTCAGCGGGAAGCCTGCTTCTCCCTCTCCCACTGCCCTACTTGTGTCCCCTCTCTTGCTGTCTCTCTCTGTGAAATACATAAATAAAATATTTAAAAAAAATAAAATAAAATCAGTCTTCCTATCCTGTCATAATCCTCATATCATATGCTGAGGAAAAATAGTAAAATACCAACAAGCAACAGTTTTTTTTTTTAATTGGAAATAGATTAAATTTGGCAAAGTATAGGATTTGTATGGAAGTGATTTCTTTTTACCCATTATAAGGGATTCTAATTTCACAGCTGAGGGTGGTTTTTACACCTTGCCAAGCAGCCACCTAACTGACGTTGAATCATTTCCTTGGTGAAGGAGAAACTGAAACTAAACTGCCATACATTTTAAGTCACTGTCCTATAAACTTATCAACTGCTCACTTGGTGAACAGGCAAATCCTAAAAAAGAGAAAAATTTAAAACGATAACTTCAAAATCCAAATACTTGATTTAAAATATTTATACCTCCAGGGTGCCTGGGTGGTTCAGCTGGTTAAGCGGCTGCCTTAGGCTCAGGTCATGATCCCAGGGTCCTGGGATCGAGTCCTGCATCGGGCTCCGTGCTCAGCGGGGAGCCTGCTTCTTTCTCTCCCTCTGCCCCTCCCACCCTGCTCGTGCTCTCTCATGCTCTCCCTCTCTCAAATAAATAAAATCTTTTTTTTTAAAGATTTTATTTATTTATTTGAGAGAGAGCATGAGAGACAAAGAGCATGAGAGGGGGGAGGGTCAGAGGGAGAAGCAGACTCCCCACTGAGCAGGGAGACCGATGTGGGACTCGATCCCGGGACTCCAGGGTCATGACCTGAGCCGAAGGCAGTCGCTTAACCAGCTGAACCACCCAGGAGCCCTCAAATAAATAAAATCTTAAAAAAATAAAATAGCTATACCTCCAATGAATAAATTCCTCTGAAAAATCTATGTTACATGGGAACAAGTTTTCAGATGGAACATTAAAGAAAGGCCTGCTGACAATTTCTGTAAATATAAAAACAAGGTTCTTTTAACCTTAGATATGACCAATCATTTCTAGAAGCCTTTCTTAATAATTTATTGGTAATCAAAATCTCCACACACATTAAGCACTCTACCACAGTATTTGAAGAATTAAATCTGGCATTTTTCTACTCAGTCCATTTCTGTAAAACTATATATGCAGAAAGAAAAGGTTTCAGAAATACTTGAAGGTAAAAACTGTAAATATGGGGTGTCTGGCTGGCTCAGTGGGAAGAGCATGCAACTTTTTTTTTTTTTTAAAGATTTTATTTATTTATTTATTTGAGAGAGAGAGAGAGAGAGAGAGAAAGAGAGAAACAGCATGAGAGGGGAGAGGGTCAGAGGGAGAAGCAGGCTCCCCGCTGAGCTGGGAGCCTGATGAGGGCCTCGATCCCAAGACTCCGGGATCATGACCTGAGCCGAAGGCAGTCGCTTAACCAACTGAGCCACCCAGGTGCCCAAGAGCATGCAACTTTTGATCTCAGGGTCGTGAGTTCGAGCCCCACGTTGGTAGAGATTAATAAAAGAATAAATAAATAAAAACTTAAAAAAAACTACAAATATAAAAAAAATTTGAAAGCATAATCTCTGTATATTGTCTGAAGTAGAAAATATATGACATCACAACAAACTTTCTCTTCTGACAATGAACAAAGCTATTTCAAAATAGTAATTTGACTAGGTATTAACAAAATCATTTCAATTATAGTCTAAGCTGGGCTTAATTAGGTATTTCAGAAATGACTTCCAGGTCCATCATCCAGAAAGATGCCCCTGAGAGTGTCATAAGAGTTATAACAAAATAGAATGATCTAAAATAATTTTTCCCAGTATGCTTGGTATTAATAAGTAATAGATTAATAGGGAGGCAGAAGCTTCCCCCAAAATATACATTAATGGTCCTTAAAGTCAATATCAAAGACTAAGATCAGTGGGTTTCCAAGTTGAAAAACCTGATGACCACATGATTCCATACCACAATATTTAAAAGTCCAATTAAAGTAGCTTAACATGCTCACTCAATATTTATGCCTAAATTTTTATTCTGTGATTCAAGGAGCCAGGCAAGGTTTTCCTCTTTTTGCCCCGGTATACAGAAGAGGTAAGGTCTTTACCCTGATCCAACTCATGTGGTTAGCCAGAGTCAGCCACCTGCCAGAATATGGCCACAAAGTGTTCAAGGTAGTGACGGAAATGGGAGAGGGCCCAAGAGCTGAATCCAAACTCTTATATATAGATCCATAAGCACACATAGGCAGACATTTACACACAGACACACAGAGACAACTCTCAAGGTTCCCTAACCACAGGACACTGGTCACATTTCAATAATTTTCAAATCCTATCTTCATACCTACTTCCAACATTAATGAAAATAAAAGCATGTAACATCAACAAAATCATCAACAAAGCCCATAACTAATTAATTTGGACCCCCAAAAAAGAAAAACTACATTGAAAGTACTATTTTCTAACGCTTGGACGAAAGCTAGAAATTTACTGATTTTAGGTATATTCTTTTTTTTTTTAAGATTTTACTTATTTATTCCAGAGAGAGAGAGAGAGAGTGAGCACGAGCAGGGGAGGGGCAGAGGAAGAGGGAGAAGCAGACTCCCTGCTGAGTAGAGAGCCCAATGGGAGGCTCGATCCCAGGACCCCGGGATCATGACCTGAGCTGAAGGCAGACACTTAACCAACTGAGCCACCCAGGTGCCCTTTTTAGGTGTATTGTTAATAAAATAAGGAGGACAGCAGCTTAAAATACATATGATTTTTTGAAACAAACCTATTTGTAACTTCTTTTTATAATATTTTCATTTGAGAAATCATTCTTGAGCAATGTTCCAGAAGATGTGTTATTCAAAATACTGAGATTTCATAGGTCTATTGGATGCTATACTCAGGAGAAAGAGAGAGAGCACACACGAGCGAGCACGTGCAAATGGAGGGGCAGACTCCGCACTGAGTCAGGTGCCCAGTGACGTGGGACTCATGGAGCTTGATCCCAGGACCCTGGAGATCACGACCTGAGCTGAAACCAAGAGTCAGATGTTCAAACAACTGAGCCACCCAGGTACCCCTGTGCTCCAGATTCTTGAAATCTAATGCCAATATGTATAAGCAAATAATTATAGTAAATGTTACGTTACGACACAAAAAAATGCTATGTTCTTTTTATGCACGTGAATAGAGAATATACAAATTCTTGGGGCGCCTGGGTGGCTCAATCAGTTAAGTGTCTGCCTTTGGCTCAGGTCATGATCCTGGGGTCCTGGGATCGAGTCCTGCATCGGGCTCCCTGCTCCGCGGGAAGCCTGCTTCTCCCTCTGCCTGCCACTCTGCCTACTTATGCTCTCTCTCTCTCTCTGTCAAATAAATAAATAAATAATCTTTAAAGAAAAAAAAAAGAAAATATACAAATTCTTATTTTATGATCCACCAAACTGTATTTAAACACAGTTTCATTAGCTTCTGAGACATAATTTGTTCTAAAAGGTGAAATTTTGGGGTGCCTGGGTGGCTCAGTTGGTTAAGCGACTGCCTTTGGCTCAGGTCATGATCCTGGAGTCCTGGGATTGAGTCCCGCATGGGGGGGGGGTCCTGCTCAGCAGGGAGTCTGCTTCTCCCTCTGACCCTCCCCCCCTCATGTGATGTCTCTCTCAAATAAATAAATAAAATCTTTTTTAAAAAATTAAAAAAAAATAAAAGGTGAAATTTTACCTGTGTTACATAAGGTTGCAGGCAGTTGGAAAAGTGGTCTTTGTACAAAATGATGCAGAAGCTGTTTCTTAACGGTGTATGGATTCATCATAGGACATAATCTACGTTTAAAAGCAAATTAAAATGACATTTCAAGAGATAATCTTTTAAGCTCAGTTTCTACTTCATATATATATGCATATATGTGTGTGTATACATATAATAATGAAAACAACAAAGCTTAATTTCATTCTCCACCCACATTATTCCCATTTCCTTAGGCAAGCAATATCTGCAAACAATTTAAAAACAAGAGCTCAATGGGTGCCTGGGTGGCTCAGTTGTTAAGCGACTGCCTTCGGCTCAGGTCATGGTCCCAGGGTCCTGGGATCGAGTCCCACATCGGGCTCCCTGCTGGGTGGGGAGCCTGCTTCTCCCTCTCCCACTCCCCCTGCTTGTGTTCCCTTTCTCACTGTGTCTCTCTCTGACAAATAAATAAATAAAATCTTAAAAAAAAACAAAAACAAAAACCAAGAGCTCAAGTGGAAATTTATAGCCTTGATAACCAAGTGTACACAGGATAGTGCAATACCAGTGTAAGAAAAAGAAATGCAACTAAATTTGTGATTTACAACCTGGATTCCCAGACCTTAGCTGTGCATGAAGGATGCAAAGAACTACCAACTGTTTCTTTTCCTTTTTAAATTTTAAAAAAACTAGGTAATAGAATCACACAGTTCAAAATTCGAAGGGGACAAAATTAAGTACTGTGAAGTCCCTCCCTTTTCTGTCTCTACTACCATGTTTCCCTGGAAAGAGAATCAATACTGTTTTTTGTGGGTTTTTTTTTTAAGATTTTTTATTTATTTATTTGACAGAGAGAGAGAGACAGCGAGAGAAGGAACACAAGCAGGGGGAGTGGGAGAGGGACAAGCAGGCTTCTTGCTGAGCAGAGAGCCCAATGCGGGGCTCGATCCCAGGACCCTGAGATCATGACCTGAGCTGAAGGCAGACGCTTAACGACTGAGCCACCCAGGCGCCCCAATACTACCTGTTTGGAAAGGTATTTCAATACTTCAAAAAGTCTAATAGAAAGTGTACTATTCCCCTCCAACCTGCTAAAGAAGCCAACAATTTATATATGCTTTTTGACTGGAAACCCCTTAAGCCAGTGTTTGTAACTTTGGTTATTTCACTGTAATAGAGAAGTACTGATTGGCTATTTTTTCATGGGCTTTGACAAATTAAAAATGAAGAGAGAAGGGAAAAACAAATATTGGAAAGGGAAAAATAAAACCTGAAAAATTTTAGAAATCAGTTGCAAGTTACTTTAAAATCCAGGTTACTTTCTGTTTGTTTGTTTTTTAAGTAGGCTCCACACCCAGCATGGAGCCCAATGTGAGGCTTGAACTCAGAACCCTGAGATCAAGACCTGAGCTGAGATCAAGAGCCAGATGCTTAACCAACTGAACCACCCAGGCACCCCAAAATCCAGTTTACTTTAAAATATATTGCTACGGGGGTGCCTGGGTGGCTCACTCGTTAAGTGTCTGCCTTCATCTCAGGTCATGACCCCAGGGTCCTGGGAGCAAGCCCCGCATCCGGCTCCCTGCTCCCTGCTCCCTGCTCCGCAGGAAGCCTGATTGTCCATCTCCCACTCCCCCTGCTTGTGTTCTCTCTCTCACTGTCTCTCTGTCAAATAAATAAATAAAATCTTTAATATATATATATATATATATATATATATATATTGCTACCATTACAATTTTCATTTTGCATAAATTGCTGAAGAATTTTAAATTTATGTATGATCACTTAAAAAAACGTTCTCTGATTACTTTTATCTGCAAACTCACTAAAGAAAAGGAGCATCTTCATTTCTGTGACCCTCAGCAACTAGAAGGATGGCCTCAGTTCCTCATCTCTAAAAGAATATTCACAGCTACCTCAAAGACTGGGCCAAAGAGGGACCCAGATACTCCACGTAAAGTGCTTAAATCAGTGCCAAGCACTTGTAGCAAGAGCTCAATAAATGTTAGCTACCATTATTAGGATGAGATAGGTGCCCAATAACGAATTATTGAATGAAGTTTAAGGTTTGGGGCGAAAACATTTTTATCTGTGGCGAACTGCCTAAATCTTGACTACACTGGAATATGGAAATACACTGAAGACCAGTATTCTTGTCCCTGCGGCGCAGGGAAAAAGCAACAGAATGGATGAATACAGTGAGAGATGGATTTAAAGTGACAAAACAGTAAAGGTTAATAGTAAAATTATTCCAGGAAGACATCTATCCAAACATAACAGCCGGGGCCAGGAGGTGACTAACAAAGAATCTTCCAGCCAACTTACTGCATTTACACTTAAAGTGCATCATGAGCATTAAAAGTCCTTAATATTCACTAGGTGAAACCTTGGTGGGCCCTTCTGTTCTTTTGTTCCAGAAGCAAAATCAAGGTACAACACCTACTTAAGTCTTCATTCTTTTTCACCTAACCGACGTTGTTGCCAGATGTCATTGGGAGGTCAAACTCAAAGGCAGGTTGGGGCGCCCGGGCGGCTCAGTCGTTGAGCGTCTGCCTTCGGCTCGGGTCATGATCCCAGGGTCCTGGGTTCGAGCCCCGCATCGCACTCCCTGCTCCGCGGGAAGCCTGCTTCTCCCTCTCCCACTCCCCCCTGCTTGTGTTCCCGCCCCCCCGTTTCTCTCGAAAAAAAAAAAAAAAAATAAAAAAAAAAAAAAAAAAAAAAACCTCAAAGGCAGGTTGCACAGAAAGGGAAAAAAAACAAACAAGAGAGCAGAGTGGGTTTAGGTGACCGGGAGGAAATCTAGGGATCTGGATTCTCAGCAGAGTTCCACCGCTTAGAAGCTGTGTGACCTCATACAGGTCACGTCCCCTTTCTGGGCCTGCTGGGAAAATGAGGAAATGAGATGAGGTACCCACTCCCATTCTGTAGACATTCCGATTTGTGTTTAAAAAGCAGAGGGAGGGAATGCACGTGATGGAAGGACTGGAAGGACCACACGATTTTAAAAAACAGCTCCTCCGTGGGGCTTCTGCAGCCCGTCTTTGCGGGCCTCCCCACCGTAGGCACTCAGGCGCCGGGTTTCAGAGCCTGGCACGGGGCGCTGCAGATCCCGCCCGGACTGCGGGCGCAGAGCCGTCTCACGGATAGCCGCCCACCGCAGGGCGAAATCCCCAACGGCGGGGACCGGGGGAGGGGGCCCAAAGGCTCGGTCAGGGGTACTTCTTCCCGCCCCAACGGGGCGGGGGTGGCGACCGCTCTGCTAGGCCCAGCGGCACCCCCGTGCGGAGCTCCTGGCTCGTCACCTACCGCCTACGCAGCCCCGCGGCAGCAGCCGCAGCTCCCCAGCCCAGCCGGGCCGCCGCTGCCATCTTAGTCCCAGCGCGCAGCAGTGGGGCAGCTCTCTCCCTTCGCCGAGCGGCGGAAGCGCCGCGCAGGCGCAGGCGCTGGCCGGCCGGGAACAGGACAGGCTCCGCGAAGAGCGAACCCTGCCGGCCGCGAGCGGCGCGGCTACGGAGGAGCCGGAGGAGCTGGCCCGCGGCTGCCGACCGCCTTCGCCCACCTACACAGTAAGCCTGCGCCAGGGCGGGCAGATGCCCGGGAGACACTTGCGCAGGCGTCCTCGGTAAGGCACGCGGGACTCGGCACGCAAGCGGAGCCGGGCGTCACCTTTCCTTCTTGGTGGGTGCCGTGAGGGCCGGAGGCCTGCAGGTGGAATGCTGTTTTCCGGTCCTAAAGCGGCCGCAGGGCCGCTCGGAGGATCCTGCTCACCCTCCGGGCCCAGCTCAACGGCTGCCTCAAAAGACTCCCTGGAGCATCCCCTTGGAAGAGTTCTGGCCTTTTCCAGCAAGATGCCTGCCCTTCTACCATGGGCCTGAGGTGGATCTGTCTTATCCTTCTGTTAGGCTGGGCTAAAAGAGCCTCTCATCTTGGACCGACCCCCGCGGAGCACTCACCTGCTGCGGTGCTGCCCTTTGCTGTATAAGAATGGGTGTTTGACGAGTTGCCAGTGCAAAATACAAAAGCCCATTAACTACTCTCCCAGAACTTTTTTTGGATATTCCGGTTTCTCTAGGACAACGGTTCTCAAGATGTGGACTGGGGGGTGGGGGGGCAGCAACAGATGGGAACACATTGCAAAGGCAAATTAGCAGGGCCCGCCTTAAACCTACTGAATCACAGTCTCTGAAGATGGGGTCTAGTAATTGGTTTTGGGTTTTTTTTTTTAAGATTTTATTTATTTGACAGAGAGAGACACAGCGAGAGAGGGAACACAAGCAGGGGGAGTGGGAGAGGGAGAAGCAGGCTTCCCGCGGAGCAGGGAGCCTGATGTGGGGCTCGATCCCTGGACCCTGGGATCATGACCTGAGCCGAAGGCAGACGCTCAACGACTGAGCCACCCAGGTGCCCCTGGTTTGGGGTTTTAAAAAAATTTTTTTTCAAGATTTAATTTATATATTTGAGAGAGCAGGAGCACGAGCAGGATGAGGGGCAGAGAGAAAAACAGACACCCCGCTGAGCAAGGAATCCAAACCCAGCTGGATCCCAGGACTCTGGGATCATGATCTGAGCTGAAGGTAGACGCTTAACTGACTGAGCCACCTAGGCGCCCCTAGTAATAATTTTAATTTTAATTTAATTTTAAATTTAATTTAAGGTTTTAATACCACCTCCAGCTAATATTTGAAAACCACTGCTCTAGAAGGTAAGCACAGTACTGGTTTCTGGACTAGAAACAACACACCTGTTGTTGGACAGATTGGAGCCACACCAAGATAACCCTGGTGGTTTCTTGGCCCAGAGAAGTGTCTAAGGGGGTTGGGGGGGCCGCTGCAGACTGCCACAGATGTGGGCTTGGACACTGAGCAGGCCCTGGCTTCTGAGGGCAGTTTACGTTCTGGAAGCTCTTGCTTCAGAGCCAAATGTCATAAAAAGACTTTTAATCTTTTATACACTTTTTAATAAAAGATTTATTTATTTGACAGAAAGCAACCACAAGCAGGGGGAGTGGGTGTAGGAGAGGGAGAAGCAGGCTCCCGGCTGAGCAAGGAGCCCAATGTGGGACTCCTTCCCAGGACTCTGGGATCATGACCTGAGCTGAAGGCAGACACTTAACCGACTGAGCCACCCAGGCGTCCCTCTTTTTAAACACTTTTAATCTTTAGTTTTTCACCTCTCATTCTTCAAACCACTGAAACTTCTTGTGTCCCAGATTATTTTCCACGTCAGGGCCTTTGCATAAATTGCTCCCCTTGTAAGGAATGCCTTCCCCCCCACCTGCTCTCTTTTTTTTCCTTTCTCCCTCTTTTCTTTCTTTCTTTTTTTTTTTTTTAAGATTTTATTTATTTATTCATGAGAGACAGAGGGAGAAGCTGGCTCCCTACTCCCAAGGAGTAGGGAGCCCGATGCGGGACTCGATCCCAGGACCCTGGGATCATGACCTGAGCCAAAGGCAGACACTTAACCATCTGAGCCACCCAGGCGCCCTCCCTCTTTTTTCTTGAAAGGCTTTCTTGAATGGTATAAATTCCCCTAGGTCTGAATATAAGGTAGGGATATTCTCCTTAAATATCCTAACTTAGGGGCCCTTTCGTGACACCTCCTTTCATCCCCACCCAAATGGTCTCCTTCGTTATCTCTTTCAATATACCCTCTCCTTTTCCTTCATAGTGCATTATCTCAAGTAAAATTATGGATTTGGGTATTAATTTTTCTAATGATCCTTTCCCTCCCCTATCCTAAGACTTACAAGGGGCATGTCTGTTTCTTTACTCTTGTACCCCACACCTACTGTAATACCCGGCACATAGTAGGTGCTCAACAAGAAGTAGTTGAATGAACGTAGTCACCTCAACCCTTTTGTCAAACCCGGTACACTCGTTCACTCTGTGTGATGACCGTGCAGACAGCAGAAAGAGAGGGCCTGGCCTCATTCACGCCTTAGCTGGTGCTATGCCGAGGAAGGGTAAAGCGTCTTATGGAGGGGACTGTGGCCACTGGCACATGAAGCTGGGCACAGCAGCCGGGTGGACAACTCAGAAACAGATGTGAAACGGCTTTCATTTTTTCCCCAAATATACTAGAGGGAGGGTGACTCTTTTAGGAAAAAGTAAAACTCCTTGAGATATCTGGATCTTTCTATTTACGCCCCACATCTTCCTGTCTCTACACCACGCATGTACACACACACACACACACACACAGTCATTCATTCACCATGATAACTGATAGACAACTGATATTTTCCCCAATACCGTTTCAATACGATGTCAGCTCTGTTTTAATTGTTGGCTAAGAAGATTACTAGATCATGTGACATGGACCAAAAAATCATTTATTTACTCATTCATCATTTATTCAATAACTATTTTTTAAGAATGAAATCTTTCCATTTGCACTGATGTGGATGGAGCTAGGGAGTATTATGCTAAGTGAAATAAGTCAGAGAAAGACAAATACCAAATGATTTCAGTCATGTGGAATTCAAGAAATAAAACAAGCTCAGATCAAAAATAAGAGAAATCAAGAAGTAGGCGCTTAATTATAGAGAACAAACTGTTGGTTACCAGAGGGGAGATGAGTGAGGGGATAGGTGTAATAGGTGATGGGGATCAAGGAGTGCACTTGTCGTGATGAGCACTGGGTGAGGTACGGAAGTGCTGAATCACTGTATTGTACACCTGAAACTAATAGTACGCTGTATGTTGGGCGCCTGGGTGGCTCAGTTGGTTAAGCGACTGCCTTCGGCTCAGGTCATGATCCTGGAGTCCCAGGATCGAGTCCCGCATCGGGCTCCCTGCTCAGCAGGGAGTCTGCTTCTCCCTCTGACCCTCTTCCCTCTCGTGCTCTCTATCTCTCATTCTCTCTCTCTCAAATAAATAAAATCTTTAAAAAAAAAATAGTACGCTGTATGTTAACTGGAATTAAAATAAAAACTTTAAAAATGATTTAAAAATAACTGTCTTTTAATTAATTTTCAAAATGCATGTGTAGTTAACACACAGTGTTATATTAGTTTCAGCTATACAATGTGATTCAGCAATTCTATACATTATTCAGCGCTCACCAAGATGAGCGCTTAATCCCCTTCACCTGTTTTACCCATCCCCCACCCACCTCCCCTCTGGCAACCACTAGTTTGTTCTCTATAATTAGGAGTCGGTTTTTTTGTCTCTTTTTCCCTTGTTCATTTGTTTTCTTTCAATAACTATTGAGTGCTTTCTTGATAGCATGGTGCCAGGCACTCTGCTTTGTCTTAGGGATTGAGGCAGACGATGCTAGACACCTTCCAGTGTTCACTTTCCCCTTCTTTACTAGCCAACACTGACTTTGCTCAGGTGGCAATGTGTTCGGTCTAAAAATAAGAAGAAGAATTCTCCTAGCCTCTCACGCATCTACGGCTTGTCATGTGGCACAGTTCCATTCAGTAAGACAAACGTGGAAGACGGCCAGAACTGTCCGAGAAGGTTTTGCTTTCCTGCTTTCGGCGCGGGCCCTTCTTCCTGCTTGCGTGGGGGCGGGAATGCTGGAGTCAAGGCAGCCACGCTTCAACCATGACATCCCTGAGGCAATGAGCCAACAACCACCAGCAACCATCCTCTTCCAGACTACCTGTGGCGCGAGAAAAAAGATCAGCCACGATTTTGCTGATGCCACGGGTTAATCAGGTTTCCCGTTACTCACGAATGATCAAAATCCCTGATACGAGGATATAAAGATGAACAAAACAATTCGTGGTCTCAGGGAGCTCCTAGAGGAGAGACTTTGCAGTCAATGAAGGCAGCCGCAGGGAACAGCATGCTCCACAAGGGCTATGTGCAGGGCCCGCTGGTGGCAGATGGGAGAAGTGAATGAGGACTTAGGGGTGAGAGGAGAGCCCAAGGAAGGCTTCACGTAAGAGGAAAGTCTTGTGTTGAGTGTTTAAAGAAAAAGAAGCGTTAAGATGTTCCAGCAATGGCTGGAACTGGACCACCAGCACCAACCCTGGTTCTGGGGCTCACTCGGTGGCCTCACTGGATGTGAACTGCATGCCAGCATGCAAAATTATCTTCTTCTTGATCTTGTGCCCAGTGCCTGGCATTTAAGAGAGGCTCAAAATATACTTGCTGAATTGAAACCTCTCTGAAGTTCCATAGAACCAGGCACCTTCTACCGTATTTTATTTCACGATTATGCTAATTAGTCATGTCATTTACCCCTCTAGGAAGCATACAGCACAAGGTTGTACCACATCATAGCCCTGTGTCACAGGGTACAGTCTGGAATTTTTCCTGTGGTTTTAGTGTTTTGGATAAAGCTTCAAAGTCAAAGACTTCGGTGATAAGGGCTCCAACATTTTAAAGTGATTAGAGACAGCCCTGTAAGCTGCCTAAAAGATGCAGAAAAACGGAGACCACCCTCTCAACCCATCCTGGCTATATAAGACATACCAACTGATAATCCTATTTTAAGGTCCCAGGGTGCCTGCTATGAGAGGATTGTGCTGTCTCACCCTGTGGGGGCAGGCTTCCTGAGCTATAGGAACTCTGGGTTTGCCTCCCCAGTTACTGGAGTAAAACATGGGGAGGGAGTCCTTGGAGTGTCCCCAGGAGTTTGGGGGTGAAGCCTAAAGATAGGAGGCCGACCGAAGCATCCCACGATGGTATAGCAA